AATAAATTTTGTTATTTTATAAACATTTTAACACTTGAATTTTAAAATTTTTTTATGCGAAAATAGAATTACTTATATGTAGGTATTATGTAAGAATACCATGAGTATTTTATCATTACTCATTACATATTCTTTATATGTGTGCAACGATATTTTTTACACGCATTATTAATATATAAATTTTAAGTATATTTTTATAGGTGTTACATGCAAGTGGACAAATTGACATAGTATGTCAAGAATTTAAAAAGGTTTTTAAGAATACTCATCTTCATAGAGCTTCATTAAGAATGCTGGTTGAGAGGCATAACAAAATCATTTCATTTTCTGAGAATATTGAAAAACTCGTTTCCTTTTTTGCGTTGATGCAAATTGTTTTGAATACGTTAACTATGTGCTGCTTAGGTTTTTTCACCATAATTGTAAGTTCTGTAATCAATGCAGTTATTAATATTGTGTGTGACATTAATTCTTTAATTGTTTACTGAATTAGTGTATCCATAATGAAATTGCTGTTTTCCTGTTAGTAAAAGCAATTTTATCTTATTGTGTTATAATGTCTGAAGCCTTTGTCATTTGCTTTGCTGGAGAACATCTTACTCTCAAGGTGCGTATTTAGAATTTGTCAACCGTAAATATAAATGTTTTTTTAACACAATGTAATAGTGCTGTTTTAATGACAGAAATAAATTATATACTTTCTTAATAAAAGTATTTTAACATATTGCGTTACATAAAACATTTAAAAGTATCCGGTATCCGATATTATTCGGCACTTTTTTATTATCCAATCGGATAGTCGGATATCATTAGTATCTGGGAATATATCCGGTTGGGAAATTTGATATCATTAAATTGTTAATTTTTTTCTTATATAAATGTTCTATAGAAATAAGTATGCGTATTCATGATGTTATAATATCTTATACATTGTTGCAAAATTACAATCTTTTTCTCTATAGATTTTTTGTTTTTAGAAGACATTTTCGCGGAATTCGATCAAATATCTGGAAAATGTCTGATATCCGACTTGAAGAAATTGCCGATCGGATACCTGATATCCGATGTTACATTGTTTGGATATCCGATATCCGGTAATTTTACGATCTGGTGCATCCGTAATTTAAAATAATAGAATTTATAAAAAATATATTTTTAATTTGTATTTTTACAGAAACATTTATTTATGAAATACGTAATGTAGTCTTTACACATACACACACACACACACACACACACACACACAGATTAATATGATAATATAATATATATGTTACATTATATCAAAATATATTTTTATACACAATTTCTTATTGTAAAAAATATATTTATATATTTGGTAATTCTATTTATCAATTAATTGTTCATTATGTCTAGAAAATGTTTATACGATGATATAGAAGAAAATGTTTTTTTATCAAATAAGTCAAATAAATACATATAGATGTAAAAATGTCAAATTCGAAATTATTTGATTTATTTTTTAGGGTAAATTGATTGCAAATGCAACATATGAAACGTTGTGGTACGATATGCCCGTAAATACGAGTAGAATTATGATGTTTATAATAATGAGATCTCAAAAGCGATTAACGATCACGGCAGGGAAAATGATGGATATGTCATTCGAAACTTTTGCAAATGTAATTTTTTAAATGTTTGAAAATTAAAAAATAATTTTGTTTTGCTTATCATTAATTTTTTGAGATATTTATATTTTTCTTTATAAAAATAGCCGTTCATAATTTAATAAGAAAAATTTAACTTCTTAATTTTTATTTTTGTAGATTATGAAGGCCACAGCATCTTATATATCAGTTTTAAATGCTATGTACTGATATTATTAAAAACGTGCCTAAATAATTAAAATTATAACATATATAATAGTTTACAGTATATAAATAATAAATTAAGTATTGCTAATTACAATTTATATATTTATTATATATAAGTCTCAATTAATAAATAACACAAATTAAAAATGCATCTAGTATATAGGCAATTAACATACGTATATACAATATCTGAATTAGATGTTTTTGGATTGTCCCTCAATTTGACAATTACATATTCGATCCGTAATAAACCGTTATAATGTTTGCTGTTCCAAACTTTTACTTGTGATATTTCTCTCCTCTAAGCGAAAGTCTTCAATATAATTATATTCTTAGAAATACAAAAATTATTCAGTCATTATATTTTATTTCGTACAATCTTCTTATTTTGCCTTTAATTATTTTTTTTAAAGATTAGAGATTGTAAATGGGTATAATTACAATTTACTTTTTACTCTTAGAATATCTAATGTATAATCACAATGTATAATCATACTATCATGATACTTTTAATAATTATCGCGATTGGTAAGCAATTTGTTTTTTGTTGATGACATTGTGTTGCCAAAGAAACGAGTAAGCAAAAAAAGAAATATCTCTCAAAGAACTTTACTTTAAGAGTATAGGTTTGCTTTTTTATTGTACTTCAGCAGTATGGTATCGCAGTCGGAAAATACGTTATTATAGATTGCTAATGAAATTATAGAATGTTCAAATAATGAGTTTTGTCTCGTCTTATTATCGTCGTACTGTGTAATATATAATAACGATTGATCCGTGCTCTTCTGAGTGGGATGTGTCATGTGGGGACGAAACGGACAGTGCACTCTTAGTTTCTTCTGCAACAAGTATACCAAATGTGTCGTTATTGATTTTAATTTTCTTAAGTTTTAAAAACCAACAAATCATGAGTACTGTCAGCCCGGCAGTGAAAATTGGCCTCCAATTTCTCGGCATATGGTCAGACGTGTCATTTTCTACTATTTATTGGCTCAGTTTTATGTCGAGTATGTTGGTTATACAGTACTTTCAATATATGTACATATTTGAACACTTAAGTATCAGTGAATTATCAAATCTTATTGATGGATTGCCTATGACTCTTGAGTATAGTTTGACATTTCTTAAGTTGACAATTCTGTGGATACAACGTCGGTAAGATATTATATTAACAGAAGTCACTGATGATCCACGCTGGACTTTCTGTTCAGGCAGTTTAATATTTCGGCTATAAAACGAATGTAATTATAAAATAATTTTTGATAAACATTAATAATATAATTATGATTTACTCAATATTGATATTTTAGCTCTTTTTCTTTAAAATAATAATAACAATAATAATTCATATAATTTTTAAAGCAATTGCTATATTGTTTAATAAATATATCAAACACAAATAAAAATACCTTATTGGTTACTGATAACCTACACAATGTGATCAAATCATTTAAAATTGGATCAGCACGGAATGTATTAATACGTACCATAATATTATTAGTATACAATTTTGCACAATTATTATGTTCAAGAAATACGATTTTGCTTCAGTATTCTAACATATATTTCGGAAGCAAAAAATTGTTTAATATAAAGTTATATGATATTACTTAAATCTTATTTTAACATTGATACGTATAATATTGATAGGTTCTCACAAGATAGTGTAATGTACAGTGTAATTTAACTAAAATATATGATGAAATAAATAAAATGTTGTAGAATTCTTCATAAAATTCTTGCTATTATGGATAATGATTGGCGTGAATGCATCAATACCGATCATCATTTGTGCATAATGACAATTAAAGCAAATATATCTCATTTTATATCTAATGCTATATTAAGCTTTACTGCC